TTAACTTTCAATACCTTGGTCCAAGAGGGGTAGCCTCGATTGGATGCTTGTAGAGGCTTTGTGTGGGTCCCAGGAGCATTCTTGATGTTGGGGTGGTGTGGGTGCAATTAATTTGAATTTGGTGGATGTTTGGAGGATGTCCTGTTTCCACCTTGAAATTGAGCTTCAAAATTGAACTCGAGCAATGGCTTTGAGTGGCTAGGGAAGGTTTTGTTAAGCTCAAGATGTCTCCAGGAAGCTCTGGAAGTTACAGAGTCTCCCCAATGAACTGCAAGCTCTCTCTTTTTAGCCGTGGAGGGGGAGTTTAAATAAAATGGCCTAGGGAGGGGTGCATTTGGTTGCTTATGTGGAGAGTAGAGAAGCTCCAACGAGCAGCTGAGCTGATTTGGCCTATGGGTTTGAATTGGGTGAAAATCCCTTGTCTTGGCCATAGTTTTGGTCATTTTCCAGCCACCAAGGTGGTCGGACGACCAGGCATTGGTCACCTCTTGGTACAGGGAAGTCCTATGGGTTTGAATTGGGTGAAAATCCCTTGTCTTGGCCATAGTTTTGGTCATTTTCCAGCCACCAAGGTGGTCGGACGACCAGGCATTGGTCACCTCTTGGTTCAGGGAAGTTAGGGGAATATGTCAGAACAATTTATTGCAATGAGGTATTGTTTTGGCAAATATATCTTAAGCCTAAGCAAAAATGGAAATCAAATCCCTTAATTTAAGGGACCCTTGGTCCATGGCTCGTATAGCTTGGGTTAGATGGTTTTTGGCTCAGTCTTAGGGTCCAACTAATGGCTGTGGTGGAGTTAATTTGATGGCTTTAGGGTGGTTAGGTCACATTTAGTGCACAGGTTCAAATGGGTGCAAACGGCCAAAAATGGGTTTGGGCTATAAATTGGCCCAAATAAATGTTTCATTTGGTGTATATGATTGTAAGAAACAACTTTGGTGAAAGATGAATGTGGTTTTGAGTTCAATTGGATGGTCAATTTGGAGGGATTTTGAAATTTGATCAATTTGGGCATATTGGGCTAGGTTTGGTCTAGGTTGGGCTAGCCTTGGGTCAAGTCCAAATTTATTGTTGAAAATAGTTAATAGGAACCTCATGAAGAGTTTTCAACATAAATTGGGTGCCAATTTTGGGGTTAAGAGATTCAATTTGATGAGATTATGTCATGTGGCCAAAATTGGGGCTCTAAATAAAAATTAAGCTCAAATGATGGACCAATTTGACTTGTATTTGGTCTATATTGGTCATATCAAGGGTGAATTTGAGTTTAGAATTGAAATTGGGGGAAATTGAG